ACACACACACACACACACACACACACACACACACACACGTGAGTGATCATGGGTGTAATGTCTCAGCAAGCTTCTCTGAGAGCGGGATCAATCTATGAGAATGGGATCAATCTCTCTGACCTTTTCCTTGTGGTAACCTGCAGTGTTCAATCTCTCATTATTTTGACAGTGAAAGGGCAGCTATTCCGGCTGTGAGATGATTGGATGGAGCATCACTACACTGCCGGTGTTAACACTATCCACCTTTGCTTCTTATGGCCGATACAGCTTCACTCAATAACTGCTCTCTCCACTCCAGTCTTGGTACCTTGTCAAAATTAAATTTAAAAAATGAAACAGAATTCACATTTGCGTTACTTCAGTTGGTATACATTACATTATATGTTAGTTGTTAGACGCTTTTATCCAAAGTGACTTACATACTCAATACGGCAATCCCCACAGGAGCAATTTGGGGTGAAGTGTCTTTCCCAGGGACACAACGACATGCTGACTGCAGTGGGGTTTGAACCTGTGCTCCCCTGATCCCAACACCAAGGCTCTATCCACTGCGCCACACGCCTCCCAATATGTATACTTTACATTTCAAACATTGTGGACATCACAAGCTTAAAATTGTTTTCTTGGTAAATGGTGTAACATGCAGATATGTACAACTGTAAAGTAAAGGAGCCACTCCACAATGCACCAGCTATATTTGTATATTTAAAACGTTCTAGTGAATTACAGTACTGAACAGTACAGGACTGCACTGCATCTCTATCTTTATGTGTGTTCTGATATTACATTTATTTAAAAATCTCACATATGCAGAATCCTTTACTTTTCTCAATACACATTCAGCGTAACAGATATAGAAAACAGCCAAAGATGAAAAATTAGGAACGCTGAAAAACCGACAAACACACGCAGGCATGCAGATGTCTGCAGCAATATCATAATCATACGATCAGCACATTTACACTTAAATACAAATTAAGCTGTCGGCTTCAACACCATGTAATGGTAGTCAACTTCAGTGCATTTCTGTATTGGCTTGTACTTGAAGTGTATTTTTATGCTTTACATGGTGTTTCTTAATTGTTTTGTTTTTTTCAAAGTGAAGAGGTGAATTGAGATCAGGAACACCATATCATTATTCAGACATGGAATATATGAACAGGAGCAATAACTAATTGATATACAGCAGTATTTCCCACATTGATTTATTTGTGGCGGGCCGCCACAATTAAATATCGTCCGTCACAAATGGATCTCATAAAAGGGGGGTGGTGTGGTGCGGTGCCCCCACAAATAGAATCAAATTATGTGGGAAACATTGTAGAAAAGACAACAAAAGTACACAGGACTGAAGTAGAAGCAATGTAGTTGAGTTCAGTGCACAGTCCACCAAATAGACCTGCTAATATCCTGCTGATTAATGAGGCCACCAATTCACCAACAAGGTGATCTCACTAACTAGCTGGGCCCACTGCCTCTATTTCTCTAAACAAGCACACATATACACATGTCATTGAATCATTGCACACAAACTTGCAAACAGTGGATAAGAGCAAACACCGCTTCAGATGTAATTGATAGATTACATTCAGTGTGTAGTCTTGCCAGTCGCATCTGAGTTACAGTTCAGAGCAAACGTTAAATACACCCTCAACTAAGCACAAGTTAACCTCCAACCATTTAATGAGGTTAATAGTTCACTAACAAGATGATCTCCATAAAGAACTGAGCCAACTGCCTCACACACATTAACACGCAGTAAAGCCTCCCACAAAGACACACCCTCACAGAACAAATCCCCCAAAAGACAAAAAGTAAGAAGTTAAACAAAATAAAAACTCTGTTGCCAAAACCAATATATTTTTGGAAGAAAAACTTTCATGATCCGTCTCTATTGTTGTTTAGTTGTAGTTTCATCTCTGTGTACTGAACTGTAAGTGCGCTCACTCAGATAGCAGTTAAAAAATAAAAGTGGATTGGTTGCTCTGTTTTCAGGGTGCATTAAAGGCCTGTCTCTGAGGCGTAGAGGCTCAGTCTGCTATACGGACCTGATTTCCTCCACACAGTGTGGGCCGAGGTGGGAAGCACAGCCCACATGCTTCACTGCTGTACAAGCTAAAGCACTCTACATGAATAATTTGCTACTCCCAGCTCCAGTTTGGCATCGCTCCTCTCTCCCGTTTACCCACGCAGTGTTGTTATGCTGATTCAGGAGCCAAGATGGGAGTGTGGCAGTGCCAACATGGCAGGAAGAAAGCTTCTTGGTGACGGAAAAAGGTTAATATAGTATGTAATTAAGGTATATAATAAGATTCTGCTTCATGACACTTCAAAACGCTAAAAGCTGATTTGATGGTGTTTTGAGGAAATTGCAGACGTTCGTTTCTGACATTTCCACAAAATTCTTTTTTTGTAATATGTGAAACAAACCGGCACAGATGGCTAGTTCTGAGCGTACTGCACCTGTTTATATATAGCTTCTCAGTAGAGTACTTGAGAGAGATGAAAACAAAGCAAGTCTGTCTGTTTGGCATGCCAATGGCTCCCTCCATGCTTCATGTAGATTCCTGTAGGATTCGGGAACATTAAGAAAGGTTTTATCTTGAACTGAAAAATAGCATGAGTAAAAATAGCATGTTACAAACCGATTTTAAATGAAGCCACCGTTTCTGTCTCTTTTTTTTTCCATTACTTTTGTTTTAGGCAGTTATGGTATTTTAGAAAGGTTACTTTGTTAAACTATTAAAGTAAAGTTGAAGGATGACAGTTATCATAGTCCCCGGCGTTTTGCTCCTTGAAATGTTGTTTAAACGAGCCACGTGTTTGCCAGGCTCTTATTTTACGTCCTTTTATGCTGAAAAGTGCCAACACTATTCGTTAGTGTGCTGCAGCACTATCCTTACTGAACTGCATATTTTCACAGTATTCATGATTCAAATTGCATCATTTCTCAACGAGGCAGTTGCATAATTTAACACTCATGTTGCATAAAGGCTCTAATGCACTTAATACCAACAGAAGAAAGTGTACATTAATCACAATTTTCATATTATTTTTGAGAGTTTCTGCACATTCTTCTGTTAGTTTTGTGGGGTTTTAGACTTTTCAGACAAAATAAGACGTTAAAAGACATCAACTTGGACATATTTGCATTTTATTTTGTCAAATAGAAATGTGCACGTTCAAGCTTGGCAAATGTAATATTTGCTCCACACATAGACTTCTTTGACTTTTAACTGGATATCTTTTGATTCTAGGCTGTCATTCAGACCATACAAGACATTTAAAGACATTTCCTTTGACTTTGGTATCTTGTGATGGACATTTGTTATTTCCCCCCGACATTTGTAAGCAAACCTTTTTAGATTAAACAAGAAATATCATTGGTAGATAAATCAATCAGTTGCAGCCCTATTTTAAATAACACTTGGTCAATGAAGTTCTCATGCTTTCTGCACTAGCCTTATATAAATATCATGTATTTGATTGATAGGCATTCATTTAATCAATACAGTAAAAATAAGTAGCATCACATAGTTAAAAATAACAACTTAATTATCATCACCACCTTCGTTCTTCCTGTCATGAGGATGATTCCCCACCACTTTCTTCTTCCTGTTTATTCAACCCTCCTCCACCTCCTCAACTTCCTTTTTTCCTCTTCTGTAAAATGTTGGCTTAAGCTGTGTCTCCAACCACCCACATCGGCAAGTGGTTAAATATTAGTTGTAGATTCATTTGCTTTCACGAAGCAGTTTAACAGGACAAAGAGTAAAAGTGGCCTGTGATGGTGTGTGTCCGCCTTCTCTCGCATCTTGACTGTTTGGACTGCACTGAAGATGTCCTTTGTTACAGTCATTGAACACCTACATGTTTCCCTTTAATTAGCTGTTTCTAGGCATGTTGTTGAATTCTCACTTCTCTATTCAGTTTTTGAAGCATGACAACAATGAAAGTAATGATTTATTGGGCAGATGGCAACAGGCAATAGCAGCATTTATGAGGTTATTTGTTTTGTTAAGTGAGTCTGTGGCATAACAGCGCTCCCTCTTCAGGCCTCGAGCACAGATGATTATCATAGAAGCAGAGGACGCGTTACAAACATGGTGCCGCTTCCTGTTTGAGCTTTCATAACATGTAACGTAACCATTTCTTTCCATGGAGCAGCTTCATCGATCTGCTGCATTGACCTGACATTGAATCTCTTTATGTTTATATGGTGTCTTTGTCTCTTACAAACGGCCTTGAAGGAGATGTGCAGCTGATTTACATATTCCTTGACTCAGGTGGAATGAGTTATGGATATTGATATTGTGACTCATATCTCTCGCTGCCTTTATGATTCTCTTGTGTTGCATTTATATGTGTTTTAACATGTGCAATAAAATGTCTATGGACAGTTGAACCGCTCCAATCTGATATCAGATGTGTTCATTTGTATTCACACAGCACTCTTCCTCTGTGTACCCTGTTTGAGAGTGCTTAATGTTGTCAAATGATTAAGTCTTCACCAAGAGATGAAAGGCCGTGTTTGGACAGGCTTTCAAATGATTGAAAGCTAACAGTTGTTCAGACTCGCTATACTGAGTCCTTGGCACTTGGCACTCATGACCACTACTACCCCTACTCATGATAATGCAATAACTTTCTGATTTCATTTTTTTTAAACAAAAATACTATCAGGCACATTTTTGTACCCATTTATCACAATTAAATAATAATCAAATAATGTGTTGAAACATTAAGTGTCAATAAGGTAAACATCAATTATGAGCATACTTTGTGTTTGTTGTCCATTAGTGGGTTGTGTCACTTTATCATAGTATGACATGACACATGACTGATAGACTCCATACAGCCTGCTTTATAATTTAAGGATGAATATTGACAAATATTTGATAACATTAAAATTGAAATTGTTCAATAATCATCATTTGTTATGCTTTTGTTTCACTTACAACTTTTTTTCATTGTTGTTTTCTTTGTTCTTGTTTTTCCAGAAGAAAGAATGGCTGTGCTTGAACTGCCAGACGCAGAGGGCTCTGTCAGGAAGCCTGGGAGATACTCCAGCTCCTGCTGCACAGCCCATGGGATCCCCCCGGTCACCTGCTACAGCCAATCAACAGTCACCTCAGCAGAAAGGGCCAAATCAACTTTTGGGGCCTAGGCCCACAGGTCCTCAACAACAGAAACCACCGGGTCCCCAAGTAAGTGGCCCTGTCTCTCCTGTGAAACAAGCTGGGCCTGCCCCTCATATCAAGGGGCCAAGCCAAGCTTCCCCTCAAACCAAGGGCTCTGCCCAACCTAAGGGTTCGAGTCAGCCACCTTCCCAAACTAAGGGTCCAACACAACCCTCACCTCAGAGTAAGGGTCCTCAAAATAAAGGTCCTAATCAATCAAATGCTCCGAGTAAGGGCCCTGTTCAGTCTGCTAACCAGACGAAGGGCCAAAGCCAGGCTAAAGGGCCGACTCAGACAAAGGGGTCTGCTCAGCCCTCTGCTCAGACCAAGGGCCCTTCTCATCCTCCTGGTGCCAAGGCCCCCCCCGGTAAGACTACCCCTAACCATGCTAAGGCCTCTCCCACCCCATCAAAAACAGCACCTACTCAGTCTAAACCCACAGGTAACAACCAAGCACGCAAACAGATGCAGAGCCAGGAGAAGACAAAAGTCACATCTAAATCTCTAAAAGAAGACGTCAAGGCACCACCAAAGAAGGCCTTGTCAGAGACTGTCACTTCACCAAAAGACATGAAGATAGTCGACGATACACAGAAGTCAAGACACCATGAAGTGAGCTACCTGCAACTTCTTCGCCTTCATTTGTTACTCTCCATTCATCATTTTTATTTTTATATATTTTGCTCCATTTTAGTTACTGTAACCATTTCTCATGATCATCCTTGTCTTCATCAAATCATGAACATTTCATTATTTATTCCACACCACTGTTTATCGCCGTCATCATATCATTATCTCTCTTTTGTTTTTTGAATTCTTCTTGTCGTCATTCTTTTTTTTAGGTAACACATTTGTTTTCTACTTTTTATCGGTCTTCTCTTTCTTTATAACCATCTGATTCATCGGTCCACCATTACTATGTAACCTTAGGTTAGTAAGTAGAAGTTGTCATAACTCTTACTATTAACTACATTTACTTTTTGAATCATGACGCCCACATATTACGCCCTTTATCTATATAATTTCCTATCAGTATAACTTTCATCATTGTCATCGTCATCGTCCTCATCATCTTCATCATCATCAACAACATCATCATCACCATGCTCTCAGTCTTTTCAGCCTATTCACTCATTCCTCACACTGGTTCTGTACACTTTTATTTTATTTGTGTCAAACGCAAGCCTTGTTGTTTACTGTGACGCTTCGTGATGATATTCGAAGCATTCTACGCATGTTAGTTATTCTTCAATGGTTCGAAGAATGAAACAGAGAATGTGTCAAAGAAGTCAATCAAGCATGTCATTGAAAGACATTTGTCTGTAGATGTTTGTATGTTTAACTGTCTGTTGTACTCACTCTGTCTGCAGTGAATTTATCCATCTGTGTGTACATAGTTGAAGGGCAAACTCAACCCAAATCAGTTTAATATGATTAATAACTTATCAAATCTACAAAATAACATTATACTCAAAAACAAGTCTAACAGTTTAGCATACAGTAGGGAAAAAGGTTGCTTGGTAAACTGTATGAAAGTTCATATTACCTTGTCTTTTACAACCACAAAGCAAAGTTACATTTGGGTTGATTTTAGCCTAATGTTGTCCAATATTTGGTTGTTTGATATTTGTTTTTTCTTTGCAATGTATTTATTCTCTAATGTCAAAATAATAGGCTGTTTCAGTTGTATTTGGTCCAGTGCATTTATTTAACTTCATATTATCTAAAAGTGTGTCATTAAAATGTCACTTCTTTTGAGTTTGATGAATAAGTGGGATACAAGGTTGGTAAATCATTTTTTTGTTCTGACCTTTCTTTTTGTCTTCTCTCGTTCTTCAGGATTACAACAAATCAAGTACACAGAGTCTAAGTGACACTGGCTACTCCTCAGATGGGATCTATAGCTCTCATGGGGAGATTACAGGACAGATCGTGGAAGAAGGAATCAAGCTCAGTGGTTCTTCCATCCCCTCAGAAATCAAAAAGCTAGAGAGCTCCATGAAGCCTCTACTGGAGTCAAAGTCAGCATCAAACAGGCCACACTCGCTGTCTGTAGGACACGGTCGGGACTACAATCCTGATGATGATGATGCAGCAAGGGATGAATCAGAGGATGAACTAAGTTGTAAGCTTCGTCATGATTATGTAGAAGACAGCAGCGAAAGTGGTCTCTCACCATTGCCAGTAAGACAGAAGAAGTCCCACAAAGAGTTAACAGATGAGGAGTTCATGAGGAGGCAAATTATGGAGATGAGTGCAGATGAAGAGGAGATGGAAGAACATGAGAACCAAAAGCCAAAAAGGGGACATAAAGCAAGTGGAGATTTAAGCAAAGAGAGACGACGACTCTCTCAACAATCTAATAGTTTTGAGGATGACACCAAGGCATCAGCGTCAAATGAAGAAGAAGATGTTGTAATGGCCGGAGGCCTGCGCCGTTTTAAGACCATTGAGCTAAATAACACCAACAGCTACAACCGAGACATGGAGCTCAGTACAGAGCATGACCTACGAGAACCAGAGCTAGAGATGGAGAGTCTGACAGGTTCACCTGAGGAGCGGTCTAAGGGAGAATATTCATCGACCCTACCTGCAACCACTCCCAGCTACACCTCTGGAACTTCCCCTACATCTGTGTCCTCCATGGAGGATGACAGTGACAGCAGTCCTAGTCGTAGGGCAAGACTAGAGGAGGCAAAGCAGCAGAGGAAGGCTCGACATCGGTCACATGGGCCACTGCTGCCAACCATCGAGGACTCATCTGAAGAGGATGAGCTCAGAGAAGAGGAAGAACTACTAAGAGAACAGGAGCAGATGAGAGATCTAGAGCAACAGAGAATCCGAAGTACTGCTCGAAAAACCAAGAGGGATAAAGAGGAACTACGGGCACAGAGACGCAGGGAAAGATCCAAAACTCCCCCTAGTAATCTCTCACCTATTGAGGACGCATCACCAACAGAAGAACTGAGGCAGGCTGCAGAGATGGAAGAACTTCACAGATCATCATGTTCTGAATATTCGCCATCGATGGACTCAGAGGCAGAGGGCTATGAAATGATTGGTGGAAAGCTTTACAAATCAGGAAATGAATATAACCTTCCAACCTTCACATCACTTTACTCGCCTACAGAGAAGACATCAGCAACCTCACCATCTGATAAAACATTAAAAAGTGCAGAGGAGGTCTATGAGGAGATGATGAAGAAAGCACAGCTAATGCAGAGGCAAGGAAATACAGTTAATCAGCAGAAAGGGCCTTCTCAGCCTGACAGTAAACATAATCTTGAAGCAGGAACTGTATTAACCCCCGGGTCAAGCCCAACACAGGTTACTGCACCCATGTCCTTTTCCACAACAGGGAGTGATCCAAGAATTCCAGGAATTCATGCAGCACAGCATCTCTCAAAAGAAACACAAAATAGGATGATGACACAGAGTGCCAAAATTGAAGGTGTTGTTGGTGTTGCCACAACTAAAGCCCAAGTCAATCAGACTGCCACAGCTCGACAGGCAGGTAGCACAGGGCCTGCTAGCAACAGAGCAGGCCCCCACAGGCCAACACAGGCATCACCTGACCCCGGAGCATCGTCCCTAACCTCCAAAGTCTTCTCCCTTTTCAAAGGTCCCAGCCCCCCGGTCTCCCCCAGTGCTTCTCCATCACAAAGCCCAACACATACGCCATCAGTAAGACCCACTAGTAGTAGTGGCAGGCAGTTGCCATCTTTGCCTGGAGGTCGTACATCGGCTGCAGCAACCCATGGAGCACAGGCACCTCAAAGGGCAAATTCCCCTCGTCTTGCACGACAACAGTCCTCTCAAGATTCACCAGTGATGGTGATAACCCTAGGCTCTAATACAACTAGTCCTTCCAAGCCAATCACTGTAAATTCTTCCACTTCCCCTTTGTCATCTCCAACACAAATTAGTTGTAAAACCTTGTATAGCTCCCATCCCCCTTCAACAAGTTCCCCAACATCACCACAAATGCATCCATCAAAAAGGTCCCCTAAACATTCTTCACAGATGGCTCAAAATGTTGAAAAGGTTAATGTTGGTATGAGCACTGTAAATGCACACAGTCGTGGTTCTATGGAGAACATATATCTAGGCCAAATCTCAAATATTCAAGGCTCTTCAATAATTGAGTCTCAGGGTCAAACTCATCAAAATATTAACGTGGTGGATCTGAGAGCCCCAATGAGGCCAGCTCCAATTATAATGACAGACAAAGGGATGGACCTAACATCCATTGCCTCTGATACAAGGAGATACTCTATAGGAGGAGAGCAGCCATCTGGTCGACACACAGCAGTGCAACCTCTTATTATGAACCTGAATGCACAAGAGCAACCACACATATCTGTATCAACACCGACCACAGTTAGCGTCACAGTTGCAAGTTCTATGTTCATGTCCCGACCTAAGCATCAAATTGTGTATGGAGATCCTTTGCAAAACCGTATGGATTTGGGCCAGGGTGTTGGATCGGCTGTGTGTTTAACCCAGAGCAAGCCGCCAATTACTGACCCATCCATTCCCAAAATTGATGCATGCCTGGAAAACCTGGGTATACAACAGCAACAACTGCAGTTACAGCAGCAGAAGCTCCTGCAACAGCAACAGCTTCTTGAGCAGCAGCTCCAGCAGCACCACCAGCAATCTTCTTTTGCTCGTTACAATTTAGCTAATCAGGTCCAGCCACAGCTGATGAAACAAGACCTTGTAGTAAGCCAGACAAGCAGTGCCCAGCCTGCAGTGACTGCTAGTACCATTCCTAGAGTATCCCCGCTGGCTCCACAGTCATTGTCTGGGGTTCTTGCTTCTAATGCTCGCCATGAAGTCTATAGTGGAGATGCCTTGGAGCTTAAAAACAAACCAACAATAATGAACTTGTCCACAGGTAAGCCCCATGTTTTGATGGTGCAACTTGATGAAAGCAACACATCACAGGTGGGCACAGTGACTCAACTGGTGAAGAGAGAGGAACCTCCTCCCCCTCCTCAGGTTTTAGATCTCACTGGTCAGATTAAACCAGAAAACCAGGTGGCGTGTTGTGATGTTGTTTACAAATTGCCCTTTGCTGGTTCATGTTCAGGGTCATTCACTCAGAAGCCTACAAATGTATCCTCTGATAAAACCCCCACCAATGAAACCCCCCAAGCAAACCACCCTCCCTACCCACCGCAATACAATGTCAGCCAACAACAACGACAACAACCACAACAACCACAACAACAACCACAACAACAACAAAAACAAAAACCTCACGCTACACAAGCAGTGACAGAGGAACATAAGCCATATCAACCACCCAACCTTCAACCTTCAATGTCTGATACCAATCTGCCCTCCATGATTGAAGGTGGACACTATCAGAGTAATGTCCAGGGGGGTATGGCAGTAGATCTTAGCAGCATGAATCAAGGTTATGATGGTGGATACCTTGGAATTGGAGCACAGTATGGATCTTACACAGACTTGCGCCACCAAGGAGATGTTTCAGGCCCTTCATTACCCCTTCGCCGATATGGCTCCATGTCAAATATCAATTCCGACTATGCCTACAGTTCACGTGATCAATCAGGACCACCAGACTCAAATCTGGCCCAGTACAGTGCAACCACTGCCAGAGAAATCAGTCGCATGTGTGCAGCTCTTAACTCTGCCGACCAGTATGCAAGCCGGTATGGAAATAACCCTGAATTGTTGGCATATGGGGCTGGTGGGGGTGGACCTTTAGCTAGGCTAAATCTCCAGCAAAGCTTAGCTTCTATAAGAGCAAACCTTCTGTATGGCCAAGATGGAAGACCAACAGCAAATGGCCAAACATTAACAAATCTAATAAATGCTAGACAAGCAAGTATACGTGCTTTGTACCCTGCTGCTATGAGAGGAGGTGATGGCATGATATATTCCACCATTAACACTCCCATAGCCTCCACCCTGCCAATTACTACCCAGCCTTCTTCTGTCATGCGTCCTATGCCTAGAGGAGTTTGCAGACCATACCCAACCGGTGTGACTGCTGTACCATTGGCTAGCCTTACCAGGTTGCCTCAAGTGACTCCAAGAATGCCTCTGTCTACACAGGGAATGTATTCCTACCCTCTCCCAAATCAGTATCCTACTTCAGCTACACCATCAGGAAGTGTGCCTGATACAAACAGCTCACAGCAGGAAACTCCTGTGTACCTTGGAAAGCCTTTAACAACAGTCGCTGCACAAACAGCTGCAACCATTCCACCCACCCAAGCTGTGGCACACTTGGGAGCACAACATTTACCAGCATCTAGTATGCAGTCTATGGCAGATCAACAGACAGATCGGACTCGCTTTACCTCACAGAATGTTGCGTCCCTTTCTCAAGCTCAAGTCCAACTTCCATCTGTCCAGCCAGTGCAGGCTCAAATACAGATACACCACCTACCCACTCAAACCCACCTACCCACTCAAACTGAACCTCTATCTTTGACTCAAACTCAACCTCAAGGACAACCCATCAGTCAACCTCAACCACTGCCACAGGTTCAACCAGAGACATCACATGGCGCTGCCCTGGCACTGAGTTCTAAACTTTCTGCCCCCACAGATGCTCAGTCAAGTAAGGAAAATGAAAGATTGAGCCAACAACAAGAGCATGCGCTGCAGCTCGAGCGAGAGCGGGTTGAACTAGAGAAATTACGGCAGCTACGGCTTCACGAGGAGCTTGAAAGGGATCGCGTTGAGCTTCAGCGACACAGAGAAAAAGAACAACAAATTGTTCAGCGTGAGATTCAAGAACTGCAGACAATCAAACAGCAAGTACTACACCAACAGCAGGCAGAACGGGAAACACAACTGATCATGCAAAGAGAACAACTGGCCCAGCAGAGAATGCAGCTAGAACAAATTCAATCTCTGCAACATCAGCTCCAGCAGCAGTTGGAGGAGCAGAAAAGACAAAAGACAGCAGCAGCAGAGGCAGCAGCTGTGGCAGCAGCAGAGGTAGCCGCCGCGTCAGCGGTGGTGGCCGCAGCAGCATCAACTGCTAAGGGTGCTATACAAGGGGTAGTTGTTGGAGGAGGGGCCCCTCAAGGTTTCATTATTTGTGACCAGAGTGGTAGGGTTATTCAACAAGATGCACAGAGTGTTCAATTTTGGCAGGATGGACAAGTGGTCCAAGCTGTGGTGGCTGCTCGACCTATTCAAAGTTCTGCCTCTGAGATGTCTTTGAGAAGCAGTGACAAACAAGCTGATTCCAAGACAATGAAAAAGCAGAATTCCATGCCTCGGCTGAGAGATGGCTCAGAGGAGGACCCTGGGAAAAAGATTACAGACAGCTGTGTGCAAACAGATGATGAAGATGGAGAGGACCGATTCATGAACAGACGTAGGAGAACAAGGCGTATTGCAGACAGCAGTGTGCAGACTGACGAGGAGGACCAGGGAGAATGGGACCAGCAGCCAGTGAGGCGCAGGCGATCACGTGTATCCAAGCACTCAGAGTCTAGTGGTGAGGCTAAATCAGAAGCATCATCTAAAGTGGCTTCTGCAAGTATAGCTAGTCAGACCACAAATGATTCATCATGCCAAACAGAGCCTGACCAATTAGGAAGGAATTCGCCTGCAATCCACATAACAATGGCAGAGACCTCAAAGGTTGACCTATTACATTACATTGCGGCCCCTGAAAGGACCCACAAAGGAGAGAGTCTGGCTTGCCAGACAGAACCAGAGTCTCAGTCACAGGGTGTGGTTGCCCCTCAGTTGAGTGTCCCTACAACTATTAGTCCATACTCCACAAGTCTGCACATAGTAGGTGCAAACACATCTGACCCTACGTCTCCTAGGCTCCAAGGAGTTGCTAAATTTGAGAGGAGGAAACCAGACCCACTGGAAATTGGGTATCAACAAAATGATTCTCCATCTCGCCAGCCCCCTAAATCTCCCCAGGTGCTATACTCTCCTGTATCTCCTTTGTCTCCTCATCGCATGCTGGAGACAACATTTGCCTCCCAGGAGAAACTAAACAAGGCCCATGTTACACCACAGCAGAAGGCCTTTACTGCTGAATCCCCCCAGCGTCACCAAAGCCTACCAAGACCCATAAAGAGTGTTCAGCGCTCCATGTCGGATCCAAAGCCTCTCAGCCCAACATCAGAGGACCCTGCCAAGAACAGGTTCTCCCCATATCATCAGCAAGCTGTTTCCAACAGTCAGGTACGAAAACATAACTTTTTCTTTGAATATAATTAATTGTATTCCTTATCTACATTCCTAAAGGCTTACTAAATGAGTTAACGGTAGTGCTTGCTAAAAATGAGATGTGTGTGGACATACGTAGATGATCACACAGGATCTGGCATCAAGAAGGTGACAGAATGTTCTCATGAGAGCAGCTGGCCGTGGCAGAAAAGCTCTTCCTATCTTCCCTTTTTGCTGTGTCTCCACCCTTATTTTTCCTCATTCTACTATTTTAGTCTATTTTCTCTCTCTTCCTCTCTTTCTGTTTTCTCTCTTTCTCTCAGTCTTATTCCTCTCGCTCTCTTTCTGCCTCTCTCTCACACACACACACTCTCTTTCCATCATGCCTTCTATATCTGGCAAACCCTTAAGAGTTGCCAGGGGGACATACATTGTGGAGGAATCCTGGTGCTGCTTTGCTGTCTTCCTGATTGTTAGCAGCTGGTCAAAGTAAATTGACATTGCTCTGCACTTAGACCAAAACTAGTCAGAGAAGCCAACATAGAAATCAGATTTCAGGCATTTTACACAGTTTCACTGTGTCTAATCTTTAGTGTTATTTTTCACAAACGGTACTCTCGTGGATAAATCACCATGGATCTACCCAACACAACTATTTTGTAAGTATTAGGCTTGCACAGATGTGTATTCAATTGTAGTTTATGTGTTTGACTGTTCTTACACGCGGGCACTTAAATATTTGGAGCAATGTGAAAAAGACCAGATACTGTTGTTATTTATTTGATCAAAAGAGGATTTTTTGCGAATCACATTACAATTAAATCCATAGAATCAAATGCAATGGCTTCATTATACCTTATTGTTTCATGCCATTATGTTGACATTGCTTTTATTTGTTTTTTTGTTTCATTTTGATTAAGAATCATTCTTATATTCACGAATTCTACATAAATATATTATTTATGTAGAATTCATCAGAAGTAACATGCTTAAATTATCCCCAAAATTATTATATAATGTAATCATAATAATAGTAATAATGATTTCTTGACGACATTGACCTCTTCCAAAAAACATTTTACTTAAAAATGTTAATTAGGAATTATATTACAATGTCACTTCGGCTTTATTTGTAACAACATTTTAATCAATTTGTTATCATCAAGTTATGTGAGTTGAATTACTGGAGGAGCTAAGATTGATGAATTAATCGAGTGATCTGACAAAATATAAGGCTGGATAGCTCTTCTTAAGGAATAGGAAATGTGCAGACCCTTTCTGAGTACCCAGTGTACAGTAATTAGTCTAATTTACATAAACACATTCTGTTTATAGCTCAGTGTTTGCTGATGTGTCTCTGCTTCTCCAAGCAGATGGCCTCCCTGCAGCAGCAGCAGAACTCTCTGATGAGGAAAATAAAGAGGACTCTCCCCAGCCCCCCTCCAGAGGAGTCTCCGCTCCCCATTGTTACTCCAGCACAAATGTACAGCTCCCCTGGCATGCCCCAGAGGGTCCTACCGAGACCTGCCCAGGGAGTCACCAAGGCTGGCCTGCTGAGTGAACTGAAAGCTGTGGAACAAGAGTCATCAAAGCTTCGTAAGCAGCAGGCTGAACTGGAGGAAGAAGAGAAAGAGATTGACGCCAAGCTACGTTACTTGGAACTAGGGATCCACCAGCGTAAGGAGACCATGGTGAAGGACAGGGAGAGGAGGGAGCTGGCTTACTTGAGGTGTATGGGTGATGCACGGGACTACATGTCGGACAGTGAGCTCAATAACCTCAGGATGGTAGCTGCAACAGGAACCTTTGATGGTAATGGTCTGTTGACAAGGCCCAGCACTGCACCATTGAGCCAGTTTACCAATGACCTCAATCCAACCTCCCAGTATCCCTCAACCTCATCTTATCCATACCCTCAAAGTCAACCATCAATACAGCAGCCAAGCTCTGCTTACCAACAGATAGGTTTCCAGCCTCCTCAGTACCCTTCATCCTCTGCACCTCAGCCAGGAACGTTCCAGCCCCATCCCCCACCAGGCCCAGGCTACCAGAACCAGGGAACCTACTCCAATCGCATGTATGCTCAGACCTCCTACCAGGCAGACCTTGGCATGCAGCAGCATGGTCACCAGGGCTTCCACCCTCCCGGTCAGCCTATACCCAGCCAGAGCCTTCCTTACCCCAGCCAGAGCCTTCCTTACCCCAGCCATAGTTCCTACCAACCCATACTCTCCTACCAGCCTCAGGCAGATATCCTTACAGTCCATCAAAGACCTCGGCAAACCTCTTTGGCTGACCTTGAGCAAAAACTTCCGACCAACTATGAAGTCATCAGCAACCCATCAGTGTCAGTGGCCACATCAGCTCCAGATACTAACTATGGCTCAGTCTACAGCAATGCATATGGACAGTACCGCCCCCCGGAGCCTGGGCTGACGCACTCTGTGGAGAGCCCCACCTCTGCTTATGCTTCAGATGGAGTCTACACCTCTAACCTGGAGCAAAACATTCCCAGGAACTATGTTATGATCGATGACATCAGTGAGTTGACAAAAGACGGCACTGGCCAACCTACTGATGCTCTAGGCCATAATGCCGGTGTGCGGTATCGCAGTGAGAATGGCCCTGCACGTGGGAGTGCCTATGGTAGACCAGAGGATGAGCCTGTGGACGCTTATGGTAGGCCTACAGGAACGGCAGGGTACCAGAGTACAGTGGACAGTCGCACAAGCACCACAGTAAGTGGCGGCTCTTCCAATTACTATGATGATTATAAACACCCATCACGGAGCAGCTCCAGTAGCCACAAAGTCACACCCAAGAATCTCGCCCCTGCAGTTGTCTCTTCTAAACGTAGTAAGCACAGGAAGCAGGGAATGGAGCAGAAGATTTCAAAATTCTCCCCTATAGAGGAAGCAAGGGATGTGGAATCAGACCTTGCCTCTTACACAATGACAACGTCAACAGGAGGCAGCTGTACGGTTGTGTCCAGATCCAAGAAGCCTCAGGACGATGTCCCCTACGGGATGAAGAAGAATGCATACGACCAGCAGAAATATTACGGCACCAGTCGTGAGGGTCTTGAGGAGGAGGACCGCATGTACAGCTCTGGTAGGTCCAGGTCTACTGGATATGGCATGGATAAGATTTCCTCCAGAGATGCCACTGGCCACAGAAGTAAATCCTACGAGAGGGATGCCATGGAGCGGTCTCAGCGAACCAGCCGAACCGGAAGGCCTCCCATGCGCAGCCAGAATTCAGAAGAGGAGAGTCCACTTAGTCCTGTTGGACAGCCTGTGGGCATTGGAAGAGGCACTGACGTCCCTGAAGCCCATGATGTGAGGAACCAGTATGGCTCCAGCCATTCCCTTCCAGATGTGCAGGACCATCATAAGAAGGACCTGCCTAGGAGTCATGTCTATAAACCAGATGACCCTTACCTCGTAGATGACATGCACTGTGCTGTTTCTGACAGTGAAGGTAACTGGTGCTGATTTTTTGGGCTGTCCACCTTTAACGTTTGCTGAAAAGGAACTGCATGCCAAGTGTGGATTTATAAGAAGAGTGACTTTGTTTGTCTTGTAATTTTTTTACGGAATGTTCCCTTTGATGAATTAAGCCAAAAATGCCTGTTTTATGTTTCTGTTTTGCACACATCATTTTTGTGAAGTTTGACGTGTTTTTTAAAATTTTTGTATTTCTTCTCTTTGAAAACTGTGCATGGCTCTGGGATATTGAGCATGTTTTCCCAGTTATATTTGCATGGCTTCATCTGCATGAAATCCCTCTCAAAACCCCTCTCAATTGTGAAACAATTGACTGATGACTGTTTGTTTTGGTTTTAAAAGCCTATCATTTGGGCCAAGAGGAGACTGATTGGTTTGAGAAGCCACGGGAGGCCCGTTCTGATCGCTCAAGACATCATGGAGGTGGAAGTCACTCATCCACAGGCAGGCGTGGTAAACACACCTATCATGATTATGATGAACCTCCAGAGGAATACTGTCCCCAGGATGAGTACAACCAACAACGCCACCCCTCTTCCACAACACCACGGGATCACCGCCAACACAGCGGCAGTTCCGGCAGACACAGTTCTTCTCGCCACTCCTCAGAGGATCCCCGGTCGTCCCGTTCTTCAAGGGCCCACCCCAAAGACCCATCCATCCGCCCCGATGGCAGAGGCTCTTCGTCTGCACAAAGAAGGAGTGGTCCAGACTCCCGTTCTGCCCAGGGAAGCCCACGAAACTCAGGCGACTTTTCACGTGACCCAGCCTCCAGTCATCACCATGGCACTGGGGGAAGGAGTCAGAAACCCCCAGGAGACCGCACATCCTCCAGAAGGCAGGAGCCTTCTGCAGCAGGGCCTAAAACACAGCAGCAGCAGCAGCAGCAGCCGCAGCAGCAGCCGCAGCCGCAGCCACAGCAGCCACAGCCACAGCAGCCGCAGCAGCAGCCGCAGCAGCAGCAGCAGCAGCCCTCTCAGGGCCATGCTGGGCAGCAGCGACCAGGTGGTCAAGGCCAGTCTGGGAGACATCCAGGCTCCGAACCTCTCGAAGGAAACCAGCAGGCCCAGCCGCAGCATCAGCAGAGTGCTCAACAACAGCAGCAGCAGCAGCAGCAGCAGCAGCAGCAGCAGCAGCAGCAGCAGCAGCAGCAGCAGCAGCAGCAGCAGCAGGCAGCAGCAGCAGCAGCAGGACCAGCAGCAGCGACAACAACAACAACAACAACAGCAGCAGCAGCAGCAGCAGCAGCAGCAGCAGCAGCAGCAGCAGCAGCAGCAGCAGCAGCAACAACAACCCCTGCAGCACAGTCAGACCCCTCAGAGCAGCCAGCCTTCAACAGTAACCACAGGTGCTGGACCGGCACAGCAGCAGCCCAAACCCGGCCAAGCCCCACCGCAGGGACGACAGCCAGGAATAGGGTCTGCAGCAGGGCAGCCGACCACCACAGCGGTGAGTTGACCGTAGCATTGTTTGCTTTGTATGCATTGAAAAACTTTTTTAAGAATGTAGGGATATGCTATAATATCAAATTAAACTTTGCCCATACAGTAACTCCATATTTGTCTCGATTCTGTTCACAGGCAAAGATTGATGCCACACCTGCAGCAGCAGCCACAGGAATTAAACCTACAACAGGAGGCCCACCACCTCAGCCTACCAAAATTGCTACACCTCCTCTTACAGGCATTGGTTAGTCTAAGATCCACCATGACTATAAACCTAACAAGAACCAAAGGCATATTACGACTTATCTGATGCTTTATTCCTTGTTGTTTTTAGGCTCCAAAGCCCCTGTTGGAATTGGAAGCAAACCCGTAGTCATAGGCAACGCTGCAGCAGGACCGGCTCCTGCTGAAGGGGACAACGTTCTTACTAAAATCCTGCAAGGAGGGGCAGCAGAGCAGGCTGGAAAACTGGGAGATGGTACAGTCATCAATACATAAATATTTAAGAAACTGAAGTACATGTATTTCTTTGGGTCCAGCTTATGTTAATGTTAATGTTTTTGCAGTTGTTTTAAATAAGTTCATTAAAAGAGTAAAAGTTAGAATATTAGAATTCCTTGATTGATATATCACTGTTTGGGTCAGACTCTCTTCTGACATGTGCCTCCTCTTTGTCATTGTTGTAGCTTTGTCTGGCTTTGGGAAAAAGTTCACTTCATTGTGGTGAACTTAGGAGAGGAGGGTAAGTGAACTGAACTTTCTTTTGTTACATGCATCAGCATCTCAAACTCTAAGTTTTTTAAACCTTCAATCTAGCAGCATGGATTGATTTCAAGATAGTTAGCAGCCTTCCTATTATCAACAGACATTTTTTAAATGCTTCCTTGCAATACATTTGGATGTTTGGGAAATTGTTGTGTATGTCTTTATTGATTCACTTGTTTATTTTGAATCAACTGTGTTTTTTTCAAGTTGCAGAGTTACGATGAGATGGATTGGTAACTTTGTACTTGAAAACCTATGAAACTGCATTACACACATTTCACCATACAGAGGCAACAGAGAAAGAGACATCCAGCATCAGTGAGTAACTCATTAACTGTTTATCCTTGTGAAATTGTACCTTTTCTTTTTAACTATGTTTTTATGATAAATATAGTGTCACATGCTTCCCTAAACAAGTGTCATTGTACAAAACTAGTTAAAAATGCAATGGTGTGTTTATTCACTTCTATGACACTTTTATTATGTAAAACAAAAGCAGTAATGCGGGAACTTGGGAAACTGTTGATCACTGCTGATATTTTGCGTTTTACCCCACTAGTTTTTGAGTCATTTATTACAGAGTGACTCCAAACCGCGAAAAAACACAGATTACTGTAACACTTTGATTTATTGATTAAGCGTTTAATCAGCTGGATCTTTACATAGATTAGCATAGTGTGTAATTGCATAATGAGAAGACTCAAACAAAGTGATGACTGATTAAATTCTGTAAGTGTATATTCTGACTGATCCGCTGTACCTTTCCCTTACCCCAAATTACTGAACAGAACTGGAATCAAATGATGCCTTGTCAGCATTGAATTCCCCAGACATGGGCACACGATTGAAGTGAATTAAATAAGGGTGATCGCTTTGTCAGCACGGTGTTTCAAGACATGAGCAGAGGGCTGAAGAGGGCTGAAGAGGGCTGAAAGAACGATGATTGAGGAGACGTCTGATGCCTCATTGGACCAATGGTAACTAAAAGCTGTTCACATTCATCTGTGTGTGTTCGTGTGTGTGTGCTCATGTATCTGTGTTTGCCTTGCTGAATTATGGGTTGATTGAATTTGGTTCTGTTATTGTTTTTTTCTTTTGTTTGTTTCAGCGTTTTCTATTATTGGTTCGCCCTGTGTCAGGTCAGGTTACTAAAGTAACAGTCCAATTTAACTTTCTGGTACAGAGGTCCGAGGCCAAAGCCAAGAAAAAGAGAGGTCGGCACTAGTATGGTTTACCTTCTGACTCCACACACACCTAATAATCTGGGCCAAGCACACTAGGCTATAATTAGCCTGAGAAGGCTAACTGTGGCTTTGCTTTAATGTCACACACTCAAAGACTCACAGGAACAAGAATACATGCAGACACACAGAATGACACACACTGACTCATGGTAAGCATCACTCATTAGATGGTAGAATAAGCTTACGGACTAATTCTGCTCAATGAAGCAGAACTACAGCAGCAAAATAAAACAGTTTTCCATGCACTTTATTTAGTGCCTGTCCAAGCACGCAATGTGACTGGCACTGGATGGAGGTTTTGCTCATTCTTGTGAAGGTCTATCAATCAGCTGCTATGTCGACACTCAGTAGCTGTATCAATTCATCTGTTTTTGGCCAGTCTCAGGATTTAGTAGGGTAGTGTAGAGAGAAAACCCGACTCAGTGCTTCTTTGAGCAGGAGGCCAGCCTGCTCAGCCCTGTGGATTACTGCCAATACCAGCCAGGCTGTGATTGGCTGGAATGTCACAGGAAGTAATTGAGAGTAGGCCTGCAGACCTGTAACCTAAACGTTACAGAAGGTTGTGGTCTATGAAAGTTGTGTTACACTGTGTAGTGAGCAAGTCCAAAACATGCAGATTTTTTTATATATATATTTATATTTCTTTGATTTATATTGGTTGAGTCTACTTTGCAGCATGATTGTGTGTGTCCATCAGGTCTGAAGAATGTTGTATTGTGAAATTAATTAATGTTTGCTAACCTTCGCATATTCACTGTTTTTATTTCAGGACGACGAGAACAGTCAATAATGAGGATATGGAGAAGACAGGGGGAAGGGGGACTCGTGGTCTGCTTCCCCCTCTTTTCTCTTAGAGAAAGTCTCCTGGGATTTCTGTGACAGTGAAAGGCCCGTTAACTGAGGCACCTGGATATCATGGGAGAGATTCAGCGTATTTGGTCGTGCATGGCTCTAAAAAAAACGTTCAATAAAGGAAGCCCCACAGCGCCCTCCACAGGGATGTTGATGGAACACCACTCATGTCTGAGGAGTACACATCTGGCAAGGATATATGATTTTTTTTATTGACTTCTTCACAGCCTCTTCATGCAAAACAAAGTGAAAAAAACTAAGACACATTTTCATAGGTTTTCCTCGTATCAAAGATACCGATCTTAACCCACAACAATGACAGCACATACCTGGAGTAGACGAGGTGTATCACGGCAATGACAACCAACTTAATGACTCCACTACAATTCTTGAACGCTTGGTTTCTCGGATCTCTGCAGTACATTCCAGTATAGGGAATTTGACCCTTTCTTTGAATGTGTTTTTATTTCTCCTCCTCTTGTTTTGATGTCTACAGAATACATTGTGTAAATGTGGACATGAGAATGCACGCACAAAGATTTGAAAAAAGAAAAAAAGAAGTCCATATAAATACGTTTTCAACACCTGAGAGATGCCACTAGTCATCAGCTGTAGGTTTTTAGGGAAGGAAGAACTACCAGTGTGCCCACAAGTGTGAGATTCACACAGATGAGAGGACCAAACGAGAGAGTGGCCACGGCTTTTAATTAGCCATCGCAAAGCCATCTTTATAGTCAGCACCAGAGCCAACTATAATTATCCGGGGCTGACTATGAAAAGGATAAAGCCCCAGATGGGACTTTATCTTTTTTATTGATTTGTCTCATCTTTTAGTTTCTTTTCATTTTTGCCTGATATTCACTGAATGGAAGAGCCTTATTCAGTACATGTTTTTACTTGTATACCTCATATGTTTTAAAATGTCCATGTCATCATGCATTTCTTTTTACACAACTGTATACTATTGTATGTACATAAAACAAATAACAGTTCTAATTATGTAATTTTTTTGTGTATTTATGGAATCACTCTCCTGTGAGTTTTTTGTTCTGTGTTTTTCTTTGGTAAAACTTTATATTTTTCACTTTTTGTTGGTTTTAAGCTGTTTTCTTGCATCAAATAATTTGCTTGTTGATTTTAAAAGCAATAGCATGCAGAAAATGGTATATAGCACAATTGTGTAAATGTTGTTTGAATTAGTGATGGGAAATATCAAACACTTCTGTCGATAAATAGCCGTAATACAATTTGTCAAAGGGTTTACAACCACAGTACTATGTCCACAGGTGCATGTTATGTGCAGACGCATAAGAGCATGCAGGCAGGTACGAACACACTCACACAGACACTCTCTCTATCTCTTGCAAACAAATATGCACAGACACTTTGCACATCACACACTTTGCACCATAGTTACACTCAAGAGCCAAGGTTAATTGTGTTCTCCACCAAATAGACCTGCTAATATCCTGCTTAATAATGAGGTTACCAATTCACCAACAAGGTGATCTCACTAACTAGCTGGGCCCACTGCCTCTATTTCTGAAACAAACACAACATTATACACACATCTCTACTCTCTACTCTCTCTCTACTACTACACACACACACACACACACACACACACACACACACACACACACACACACACACACACACACACACACACACACACACACACACACACACACACACGCATACAGATAATAGAGAGGATGAAAGCAATTATCAATTCAAATGTTCTATGCAATGACTCATTTTGAACCTGGAAGTGATTCTGCCTAAAGCAGTTTATTATCATCACTCTATTCACAAGAAAACAACAAAAGTATGAACTAAAATAGTAAAAAAAAAGAAAGAAAAAATGGTCATGAAAATGTTTTTACTTAGCAACTTGTCTGTATGAATTTGAATATTGAACTAGAATTGTTTTTATTTTCGTGGCATGTTTTGACCCCTCATTCCCCACACAGGGGACTTGTTGCCAAAGGGTAAACTGTGTAGACTGTCGGTTTTGAATGTCCACCATCATGTTGCTTTGAAGCATGGGTTTGCTTGGCTTTGTCTGGCTGTTTGTAAGCCCTCATTCAGTTTTTGTGCGTTTTGGCTGACATGGGCTCCTCAGTGTTTGGCTTGCAGTGACTGTCTGTGCTGCTATAAACCTGTGATACAGATGGCCAGCACTTCTCATTAATAATTGTCAATGTACATATTGGGTGTCAGTATAATCTGTGGGGTGAATGGAATGCTTCTAATGGATATTTCATTGTTGATTAAATCACTCAGCAGCCAAGCCATTGGAAAGGTGCATGATTGGATCTTATATTATTGGAAGTGTACCTGAATTAAAAAAAGGTAAGGCATGATTACACCAAGGTTTGCCTAACGAACCTTGACTTTCACAGGCCAACGTAGAGAATATTGATGAGTAAAATGTTCAGCCAGTCACTCACCAATCAGGGCATGTCATTTTGAAAGCACAAGCCTGACTGGAAGCATTAGTTGCTCAATGAAACGCAGAATTATGGAGGTTACATAACAGTGCCTCCAACTGAACAGTGTAAGACCTAAATCAAAGCAAGAGGTGGAAATGCTATCTGGCCGATATTAGGTGCACGAGACAAAACAGCCTTTAGTGCAGCCGTCTGATTGACTGACACACATTCTTACTGTAAATACAAAATCATTCTTCTGTACAGCTTTTGAGTTCTGAGTACGGCTGTCATGTGCATCCCCATGCCGTATTTGCTGCCAACTTTTGTGTATAAAAAGAATATTTATTACCACAATAATGAGGATGATGATGAAACTAATGATAATAATGATTATTATTGCATAAGCATAGTATATGTGGCTGACTTGTATTGACTGTTTACAACAGTGGAATAAAACGTGTGTTCAGAAACATATTCAGTCTGTGTATAGTTTCTATACATATTGTGTTTGTAGAACAAGAAAAAGGACCCTCCTCAGCATTTGCAGAGCAGAATGCCTTTGAAAGGCATCAGGAGGTCTTCGATTAAATGGATATGATCTGCAAGGTGATGAGGGTAAAGGGATGCAGTGAAAAAAAATGAAACAAAAAATCTGGAAAATGTCATTCACTGTTGTAAGTGCAATGGGCAAAATGTCAGTCGTGTATCCATTGTGAAACCTTGTGTTCTATTCAGTGTATTCCTGTAAACAGATAGAGTAAATTTTGGTGCATCATGTCAAGTAATGTGATTAATGAAAATATTGACCCTGCAATTTCCAAACAAAGAGAAGAATAAAAAGAAAAGGAATATAGTGTGGTTATTGTCTTCAGTCTTTGTGTGTGTGTGTGTGTGTGTGTGTGTGTGTGTGTGTGTGTGTGTGTGTGTGTGTGTGTGTGTGTGCGCGCGCACGTGTGTGCGCGCATGTCGCCTTTTTCCTTGCAGTGCTGATAGCGACACTGGGTAAGTTGTACATAGCTCTGCTGCAGACTGAAGAGAGCTCACAGGTAAACATTTGAATTCAACAAGACTGTTCAGATAAGACCAGGATGTATTCGCTGAAGCAGTGATGACTTATAGTGGGTGGGAGGGGAGCAGGAGCAGCGAGAGGGGAAGTTGCCAAAGCAAAGAAATTGAGGTGTTAGTGTGTCAGATTTGTGACTGAGTCTGCATGTTTGTATCAGGAAGAGAGAGATAATTGGAATATTCATCCATCCGTCCATCTTCCGTGTCTTCAGTCATGTTTGAATATAGCCTATGGTAAATGCAAACAGTGCAAAATTATGTATTCTTTTAAAAAACAATATCGAAATGTATACCGAGAAAACAGAGGTATCCTTGAATTTTCACCCTTGACAAAACCTACATTATCCACAATGCAACTCGATCATAGACCCTTCAGTTGGGGACATTTTGTGTTTTCTGTTGTGTTGTGCTATAGCGGCTTATGTAGTATTGAGCAGTTAGCCACAAACGGACATGGTAAGCTACAGATTCCCAAATGTATTTTATTTTCAGACTTGTTTTATTTTCAGACCTGTAATCCTAAGAACCAACCAATGTTGACTCAAGTGACATATTTTGAAGTCATTTATCAGATGTCAAGCATCTTCCTCTAGAGTCACAAAAGGCTCTGTACAACTTTGTTTCTTCTTTAATATGGCAGTTGTACTCTCAAAGACCAGTTAACACAACCCATTCTGCAGCCTTCATATCCCTAGAGCAAAGCATAACAGTAATGGTTACATCTGTAGATCTTTGCTGCCCTCATCTGGTTAGATACATAAGTGGAAGCAGGATAAACCAACTATTTTTATACATTTACCTCTAAAAGATATGTTCTATTTAAAAAAATTGAAATGCTCCTACAGTACTTTGAAAAAGCAAGTAGTATTAACTATCAAATGTAATATATTACTGTACGAAGTACTAATGGTATTCAAGAGTGGAAACAAGGAAAGACTAGAAATGGTACCTTTTGCAGCTGAAGTCATGTTGGTTATCAGACTCTTGATATACTCTTAATATACTTTATGTATGAACATCTATCTCAAAATACCGAAGCGTAAAAATTCCTAATAAAACCAAAATAAATGTTAATGTAAATGCTATATCCTTGATGTTAATCCTGCATTTAAAAGGTCAATCATATGTTCATCATTTTCAAAAACTACACTAAGATGTGAAAAGATTGACCTGAACTTTCACCTAATTATGCGGCTAAAACAAGGTCAAGGGTTTCTTTAATGAAGTCAGTCTCTGTACTATGACTACTATGAATTTAAATTATGAAAGCTTGACAGATCTCCAAGCCTTAAAATATGAGCAGAATCTCGGGAAGAAATATCCGATGGTATTTAAAAGATTTAGACTCTTCTTTTCTTACTTGTGAAGTTGAACTACGAGAAACAAAATGGAAAGTGCCAGTTTCAAGAGAGCTATTGACCCTGCTGTACCATACAATAACCAATCGCACAAAAGCAATTTGAAAAGAAAGCGATGAGGACTTCATTCATACAAGATATATTTTGTGTTGAAGATGATCGTAACATAGGTCAACGAGGTGAAAACACCACTAAAGCTTTTGTATTAACTGACCCATAAATGAAAGTGTTGTGAAGCCTTAAGTGCTCAATCTTTGATCTAACAAGGATTTATTGCTGGGCCTGACGGCCAACTCTACAGCACTGGTGTCTAACTTGTTTCCCCCTTCAGGTCTAGTGAAGCGTATTTCACATCATGATATATAAATGTGCTGATTAACCCTCCGCAAAGACTGTTGGAGGTCACTCTTTGTTACTTAATAGACATTTCTCTGTTTCAGTTTTTTTCTTTTGAAACAACAGTCTTTTAACTGAGCCAACTATGTCCCATCTCTCATTAAGAGCAGGGGAATGTTTGTATACAGCAGGTTGATTAATGGTTTTTCATAACTGTCCTCAATTATACATCTCTTGACCTAGACATCCTCTTCTCAATAGCATGAATTAAACTATAATTGCGAGGCTTGCATTCATCCATTTCCTGAAAGCCATGACGAGGGCTTCAGCATCTGAAGATTAACAGGTCATTTCCATCAGGGATGACATCTGAGGAACATTGTGACTCAGCCTCAAGTGATAAGAAGTGTGACACAGAGAGGTAGAGGAACGGAGAATGACTCATTTTGCAAATTCATAAATTATTTGTCATTGCTACTACAGCCAAAGTGCACTTGCACATCACCAGTTGAGCCAATCTCTTCAAATTAAGCTGAATCACGGAGGAATCACGGCTCAGGATTTCCTCGCCCACCTGCCACTCACAGTCTTAATCTGCGTGATTGCCACTATACAGACTGTATAATCAATACGCAACACTTTAATAAGGAAACAATCCTTTTCCAGGCATGTGTGCATTTTTATAAGGGTTTTCCTGGTGGAGCATTGCTGTCTCACTTAAATAAAGGTTGAATAATCTTGAATACATCAATTTAGAAATAAATATAACTTTGGATAATTGCATGGCATAAACCACCTCAAGTCCTTCTGTTTTACGTATTAAACCCTTTAAAATGGTGTATAAGAAGATGCCGCTCACAGTTTTAAGTACCCGTGTCTTATCCTTGTACAATTAAATAATTTGGGCAAACAACAGTGCACATGCTCAAAGCCTATGCCAATGAAAGTTGATGGCACAAATGTAATTTCACGTGGTATTAATTACCTGTTTCCCAACTGCGATTTGATTGGCTGTTTGCCAAATGCTGCGGTAGTTAGCAGAAGTGAATTACTTTTACAGATGTTAATACGATTTTGAGACCATAATAACAACATCAAAAGTTTGGTCACTATGAAAAAACATGAGTTTAAACACCTTGGTGCCGATCAGCCGTGGGACATTGTTACAAACCAGCTCTGATGAATGGTTGCATGAATAGTCAGATTTTACATTGAGTGGTTTTACAGGAAAAACCTCCTAGCTTGCCATGGACTCTGTTGTTCTTCCCATAATTGGTATGCGGCGGAGATACTAACTTTTGGGCATAGACTTTCAGGATCTCAAGCATCTTGTTGAGAGGATCACCAAACCTCAAAGCACCAGAACAACGCGATGAAATAGGGCTTCTCGTAGGAGCAAACACCCAAACTGTGCATTTAATCT